TTCACTCATTTTGAAATTAAAAAAACTTTTAAATGAATATACAACTGTATATCAATTTTAAAAAAATGCAAATAACACAATGTATTTCACTTTCATAATATTCACAATTCAATTTTCTTTTATTTTTTTTTCTATGATAGCCTGCTGAGTACAAAAATGCCATGTAAAATAAAAAAGATGAAATAAAGTAACGTTTTACTCCATTAAATATTCATAAATTTAGTGATTTGTATTAGTTGTATGGTTATTGTTATTAGCAGTCCTACTTTTGTATTGATATGAAGCAAAATTTGTGCAAAATCTTATACGTGAAAAGAAGAAAACACTTAATTGCTGTGGCCTTCGACTCAGCATTTAGATATATTGACGACGTATTGTCAATTAACAATGGTAACTTCTATATTTATGTCTATACGATATATCCCAGTGAGCTTGAATTAAAAGACGCCCACAGTGTCTGATACATCTGTTTCATATTTGGATATTTTACTTGAAAAAAGACGTTAATGTTAATCTAACAACCAAGCTCTATGATAAACGCGATTACGTAAATTTTACAATCGTCAACTTCCCTTACTTATGCAGCAATATACCTTCATTACCTGCATATGGAGTTTATATATCTCAATTGATTCGATACGCAAGAGCATGCTCTATGTATGAACAATTTCTGTAAATTATTGACTAACAAGTTGATGAAACAAGAATATCAGCAGCATCGTTTGAAGTTATCATTTCGTAAGTTCTATGGTCGATACAACGACCTTGTCAGTAAATACAATTTCTCATTGAGTCAAAATGCTGACGGACGTGTTTCATATTTGTTAGTCCATTAATTATACACTGAATTGAGGACGGATTTTTCCGTTATTTTGCGATCGTGACAAGGAGCTCATGGCGGGTGTGATCGGTCAGCAGGGGATGCTCACTCCTCCATGGCACCTTATTCAGCCTCTGATGTTTTGGATGTCCGTGTTTGCTCTGCTCCTATTTTGTATTGTTTTATGGACATTTGATCTTGAATACTGCTCGTTATCTCCATATGTTTCATGATTAAATCACACACACTTTCAACGTACATTTTGTTACATATACAAGCTAGCTGGTGCCGTATGAAAAATATGCCTACAAACAAGTCTATTTGAGAAAAGTAATTCATTGTGTTTACATTAAATTTTGGAAACTAACAGAGAATGTACAAAAGACGATGGGTGAACAAGGCCCGCAGAAGGCGTATAACCTCAAATTTATGAAAAGTCACATTCAATTTGTGTCTATGTATTTCAAGTTCTCATTATTAAAGATTTTGAAATAATAAATTAAAAAAAAAATAAACCAAAAAAAAAAAAAAAAATAAATAAAAATAATAAAATAAAAAAAAAAAAAAAAAATCGGCAAATGCTATTCTCTTATTGAAAAAATTCAATCTTGCTGAAATTTTTGCAAGTTGTTAAGAATTTGAATTTAATTTAATTTTCACCTTCGTGTTTGTTGCATATAGATATTCTTGACGCATTGTTCACCCGTATATTTATTTATTTTTTTTGTTACTCTATTTATTTTTACGTTCATGAAGAACTCGGTAACCTTTATTGTCTGGCCCCTTTACTGCTAGTTCCTCTGTGTTTATTTCTACGCGTGACTATTTCTACACGTGACAATATACATGTATTCACGCCTAGTTGTTTTTGTGAAAAAAGTATATATAGATAAAAATAGTTATCTTTCTTTCCATGTACATATCAAATTTACAACTCTCAGTGATCCACCTTATATAGTACTGGCATTTATATCACAGGTGGCTATTTATGAAGAAAGTGATATTTTGGTCAGGTAACTTGTCGTAAAATAATCTATCTAATCCAGACAGGGGACAAAGCAATAAACAATAATGTGTGAAGATCTCACAAGGACAGTGAGTCAGGACAAAGTAATCTACAATACATTCTTATCTGCATATAGCATACTTAGCACTTTTAAAGGCAGGATACGATTGATAATTTTTGTTTTTAGAAACGTTTACCTCTGACATTATAAAGGATTTTAAAAACAAGGAATCTAACTTTGAAATCTTAAATCCCATTTGAATATTGTTTGCGTGTTTTTTTTCAGATTTTTTTTCTTTAATTGCCATTTTAATAATTTTTTTGATAATGTAATAACTATATATTGGTAACAAACTGAGATAAAACTAAGATAAAATATAAAACTAAGATAAAATATAAAAATTCAGAAACATCTTTTATATTTTCGTTTAATTTATATTTTGTACTTTATTAAACACGAAGAGTACTATAGTTTTATTTAATTAGAAAATAGCGTTTAATAATGAAATGTCAAATTCTCCATATGTTTCATTACCAAAGAAAACGAAAGTTAAGCACAACCAACTTTTGAGAGAGAAAAAAGGTCAATGAGGATATTTTTTTTTTTTTTTTACAAATTCATTTAAACATTATGAACATTGAAAACGGGAAGGAAAGATAACAAAGAAGGACTGATCTCAAATTTTTTTTTAAACAGTACAAATCTGTGTTGAGGGGATAAGCACAGACCCCTGGAAATTGAAGAGATGGGATCAGTCTAGGTGCACACGAGGAGTAAGAATCCGCTGTCCACCGGTCACACCCGCCGTGTGTAACGATCGTGAAATAACGGATAAATCTTTCGTTAATTCAGTGTGTAAATAATGAACATAGACCTTCGTTTTAGGTCTATGTAATGAACTAACAATTATTATGAAAAACGTCAGTTAGCATTTGACTTAATGAGAAAAAATGTATTTCTTGAAAAGGCTGTTTTTCGACCATAGAACTTATAAAATGATGGCTTTAAATGAGACTGCTGATATTCTTGTTTCATCAATTTGTTTGTCAAAAACTTAACTCGTTTTAGAAATTGTTTACACGTAGAACTTGATTTTGCGTATCGAATCAACGGAGAGATATAAATCCTGTATGCAGTTGATGAAGGTACATGTACATGTATATTGCTGGATAAGTAAGGGGAGTTGACGATTGAAAAGTTGAGGGGACATGGACACAGTGTCAGCTAAATATTTTCAATTATATTTTCCATTTTTACAAAGGTCTTTCTAATGATCACCCAAATTTGACTTTAGTTGTCGAGATATAAGACAGATTAAGAGCTCCAAATCTTTGTTATGTAAACAGGCCCCGTGCCTTGTTTTGGTTTACATATGTTAATATTCTAATACATGTTCGTCCACAGCAGATACTTTCAATAAAAAGTTAACTCTTAATACGATCAGACAGTTTCTAGTTATTTGCTAAATCTAATTTGTCACAGATATGATATTTTCTATATGTAAACGTAAACAAAGCTCGAGCCTTCTTTACATTATGAATAACTTTAAGTTCTGTATCTCATTTGTTAACAAATGATCTTCAATTTTTTGCTGATCTTTAGATGAAACCTTAGTTAGGAATTGTAATCATTAAAATTGGTTTTTAAAAAAAACAGTAGAAACTGTGTCCATGTCTCTTTAAGTCATCACGTATGAACATAAACCTTGGTTGTTAGATTACAATTACCCATAAGAATGCCAACAGATTGTTTGAAGACCTGGCCTCAAGACTATAAAGTGAGAAAAGACTTTTAAATGTCAATTTTTGTTTTTATAACTTAAGAGTTTTACTTAATACATTTATTAAAAATTTTTTCATTTTTTATATATGTAAATTGAAACGTATGATGAAAATTTTGTTTCATTATTAAAATTATTTCATAATTTATATCAACTTGAAATTTTGATTTAAGTACGTACTTAGTTCATGGTCTTGGAGCCTAATTGACAATTAGAAACTTAAATATCAGCTTAGAATGATTGTCGGTACAATTAGAATGTTTTTAACCAAATAATTTACTCAACTAAATAAGACCCAATGTTATATTAGTTATATTGGCTAACTTAGCAATTGAAACGACCACAGAATCTACGAATTGCTAACTCTAAATGAAAGTATAAAATTCCTGAGTTAATATTCATCTGTCCAATGGTCACACCAGCCGTGAGAAGGTGGCCGTTGGCGACAAACGAAGTAATCTTTAGATCTATTATCTCTGGATAACTGAAAATTATAACCTTACAGTTTTTGCTTTATAAAAGTCAGTTTATTTCGCACTCAATACAGGTTGTATTTGTCAAAAGAATTTTCTATAATAATGCGAAATAAAACTTCAACTTTCCTTACCTATGCAGCAATATACCTTCATCACCTGCATACGGAGTTTACATATCTCAGTTGATTCAATACGCTAGAGCATGCTCTACATATGAACAATTTCTAAAACGAGGTAAATTATCGACAAACAAGCTGATGAAACAAGATTATCAGCAGTCTCATTTGAAGTCATCATTTCGTTAGTTCTATGGTCGATACCATGACCTTGTCAGGAAATACAATTTATCATGGAATCATATGCTGGCTGACATTTTTCATACTAATTGTTAGTCAATTATTTATACACTGAATTGACGACGGATTTTTTCCGTTATTTCCCGACCATGACAAGGAGCACACAGCGGGTGTGACCGGTCGGCAGGGGATGCTCACGCCTCCGTGGCACCTGATCCCACCTCTGATGTTTTGGATGTCCGTGTTTGCTCTGCTCCTATTTTGTATTGTCTTATGGACTTAGATATTGAATACTGTTCGTTTTCTCCATATCCTTCATTACTGAGTATATCTGCTCTAAAGATAGACAATTAAACAATATATTTTGATATTTAAACGCAGTCTAATAATTTTCAGGGGTTAAGGAAAAGTAAAGTTGAAGATGATTTTGATTTTGGAAGAATGTGCATTAACACTTATAATTTAATAACATTCCCAAAAGAATATTTTATTAATTGGAGTGGAAAGCCAAGAAGACACGTGACCTGTAAAGTCAAGATGAGAAAAGCACTTTTAAGAAAGACAGCTTTATTCAGAATCATTTGTATAAAAGCTAATGAGATCTTGAATTTAACAAAATTAAGTGAACATATAAAAGTATTAACAATTCATCATGATAATAGTTGCATAAAAAATATTTATTTACAACAAAGCAGCATTATAATTGTATCAGTACAGTTTGTAAGTGTATTGTATTTAATTCAGTTATAAGAAGGACACTGAAATGAATATGGATAAGATAATGACATCTGGTGGTTTCTAGTGCTTTCTAATTGTCCGAAAGTTTCTGAATCTGGATCGGAATACTGGCTGCTGATTTGTGGCACATTGAACAGAGAGGCTGTCGACACGGAGCAATGCTGGGTATAGTATGGCAGTACGTCCTCTTCGGTAGACCTAGAGGAAGTGGACTTTAAGTTCTGTATCATGATTCTGAAATTGAATTTGTAGGTATACCGCTTTCCTTGCACTTTATTTAGGATCATCTTATCATAATAATATCTCAGTGCTCGAGACAGTTTGTCATAGTTCATGTTTGGCTTATTCTTACGTCTTCCCCACTTTCGGGCTACTTCTTCTGGATCGACTATGCGGAACTCTCCGCTTAAGTCCTCCCAGCGAATGCAATTATTATTGGATGTGTCGATGAGTAGTTCCAGCAAGAACTGCCATAGCTGAACCTGCCCACCTCCTGAAAGTTTGATAATAATTTATAAGTATTCATCAATAAAAAAGGCAATGTTTTCAGGAAGGATAATACATCAATAATGATTTAAAACTAGCAAATGCGAGTAAATTTGTTTTCCAAAGAAAGAAAATTGTGTGAAAATCTGAATCCGCTTAATTCGAAAATACATTTAAAATATACATTTGAAAATTAATTCAAATAAAGTTTCTTCAAAGGAAAGGAAATAAAGTATGCTAATGAAGACAATCTGGGTCGATCTTTCTCTCTGACCACAACACCTGCTAATGCTATTTTATTTCTGTGAAGGTTTGGCAAGAATGTGGTACAAAAGGTACACTTACCAGACAATATTGTTGCAATATAGCGGAGGTCATCTTCTGTCCTTATTAAAGAATTATCATCCGCTACATTGTCTGAAATGATTTGGTTAAATATTATTACTTCCTTTTTCAAGGACATTTATTTCATATTAAAGACAAACCGATAAAAGAAAAGCATACTGAAAAAATAGAAATGGTTAGCGAGCTATGGAAATTCTTGAATTAGTATGGTTTTTAATTTCAGATATTCGAATTCTGAAATGTGCTATATCTCTAGAATTTTTTTAATCCCAAGTTTAAAAAAAGCGCAATTAGTTATATATACATCTTTACTCTCTAACTAATTTAGGTTGTATAAACATGGTTTGTGTACAGTTTAGAAAATTATGCAAAGTATTTTATATTTAATGCATGTTTATAATTTCTAATTTTATTCAGGTATAACAATTAATTAATTCTTTAATTACATGACGGTAATATACCTATAATTACAGAAAAAGTATACCTTTGCATTTGGTGTACCTGTTGTCTCTATTAATACAGTCCATGATATCTGATAATGTCGTGGAAGAATTGACGATTTCTTCAGGACCTGATATCTCACTTGAACTAGCAAAGAAACACATATCATGGGCATCCTTCTCTGGGGAATTTTCTTCGAAAAGAGGCTGCTTTTTCATCCATTGTTCTGTTGCAGTGAAATTTTGTGCAAGCATTTTTTCCTGATGCTTAATTCGATGATATATGTCAAATTGCACCTCTGATTCCATTAATCTTTGCCGGGGAAAGTTACTGGACCTCATCTAAGCAACTTTTATCCCATTCTAAAATGAGTTTAATTACGTTTAATCCTCAATTTTTTTTTGCATACTTACGTCATAAAATAATTCTATTTCAAAGCTTCTATATGAATGTTGTTTTCACATTTACATATGAAAAAAAGTATATAAAAGATGTAAAATCGTATATCAGATGTTATGTTATTTTATCAGTTACAAAAGTAAATCATATAATAGCGCAGCAAAATGTGACGTTAAAGAAATACGATTCCTGAACATCGAACATTAATCAAAATGAATAATGAATTATAAGTTGACATTTAAACAGAAAATTATAAAAATGGACATCAACAAAGGAAAAAATGCATTTTGGAAAATCCAAATTTGAATTTTTACTTGCATCTTTTATAAAGGTAGCCGAATTTCTGCAGGTTTGTCACCTTTTATTAATCTCCAATATTGAGTCACTTAGCTGCTCTCTGCAGGTTTTTACCTTTGCAAAATCCCGACTGATGCTTCTAGACTTTACACACATCTGTAAACAAAATGACAGGTACGTGTGGTTAAATTACATCTATTTTAAGGTAGATGGTAAATCCATATCAAATGTGAGTCACGACAGAATTGGAAAGATAGGGGGAACACACACTGACATAGAAAACCCCTGTCCTTTGACTCGGATTATTTCAATCTGCACCCGTTCACACTCACGACTCGGCCGTGCGGATATTTGTTTTATTCTTTCTTCGTTTGTTTAAATCGATTGATCTACTTTTTTCTCGTCTCTGCTAGTACCCCGACCCTGTATATTCGGTTTTTCCTCTGATCGTCCATGATGACCCTCTGAAAAGAGTCATTGTGTTTTGTGATTGTTTTTTGTACTCACTTTGACAAGAGTTGTCAGAACGTAAAAGAAACAACTGAGGTGTTATTAATAGTTAAGTATACGGGGTCCTGAAATAAGACATCGCACTCTTATTTTTTTTCCATATTTACAAAGAAAATATAGAGCAGATGCACTTTGCATTGCTGTCGTCTCTTCTTGAATTGCAGAGGATTTAAATGCAGTTGAAAGGTTTTGACTTTTGCATTCGATATAGGCATTATATTAAAGTTTTTCTCCTTTTTTTAAATTTGCGTTTCAGTTTCAAAAGTACTTTACATGTACTTTGTCAAAGAATGAATTAATTTATACGAAGCAGTTTTTGTATGATTTCATTATAAACTGTCCATCTTTCTTTAACCACCATTTTAAAAGGAGAAATTCGGTTATTCGAGATTAAATTTGCCGATCAGTTTTCAAAATTTGAGAAAGTGTGCAAAAGTTTTGCAACTTTTTGGAAATGAAAACGGTGTTTAGTGTTTATTGCTATCAATAAAAGGCAAATGTGTTATTTTCTCTCTGTTTGTTATATTTGAATTTTAATGCACACTCATCAAGATACATTTTTTTAATTATTTTGTATAGAAGAATCAAAGTCTAGACACAATTTTTTTCGTTAAAAACAATCACTTACTACATGTAATGTTTGCTGTGGTCTTAGCAAAGGCTTGACAAAGACTCATTCAACTAAAACTGAGCATTAAGTTCCATCTCTATCCCCCCTTTAACTACAACCCATCACGTTTCTTTTTATCTAAGAAAAATCCCGAATTTATTACATATAAATAATGCTGCTTTCTATTACTCTAAATTGAAAGTGCTTTTAAAAGTGAAAAGAACTACAAAAAGATCGATAGATCAAGTGATGGTCCACATAACAATGAAAAAAATTATTGCTAATTAATGTTTTTATTTAAAAGTGTGGTATATCTAATGGGTATATTTATTATACCTCAATATCTAGCCCCCCTTTCTTTCATACATAATCACTGTTTTGTAAAGATTGTTTGTCATATGAACTTCGTATCTCTAATTCCCCCCCCCTCCCCCCCAAAAAAAATTGTATTAATTAATTAAGATTTGAAAATCTTATATTATCCTATGATGAAAAGAATCGATGAAATCTGAAATAAAAAGATAAAGACAACTGGAAACTGTGGAATAAATTGTATTTATAAAATGTTATAAAATGAAATATATAGAGATAACGAACAGTATTCAAGCTCAAAAATCCATTAAAACAACATAAATTTTAAAATCATGATTTTAAAATATCGCAAAAACAAGACCATGTAGGAGTGAGCATCCTCTGTCAACCGGTCACACCCGCCGTGTGCTCATTATCATAGAAATAACGGAAAAATCCGTCGACAATTCAATAATATTTAAATAATAAGCTAACAATTGAAAAGTATGAAAAACCGAAAAACATACGTGAGTCTGACACATTCTGTTTCATATTTGAATGTTTTACTGGTTTATATTAACGGTAAACTGACAACTTAACATAATGATCAACATGATGACCACACCTTTATTTATCGCCAGTTTTCCTTACTTTCTAAACAATACCATCAACACCTGCACATGAAGTTTATTTCTCCCAATAAATTCAGAGTGTTCTATGTACGAAAAATTTCTAAACCGAGGCAGGCAATTCATAAAATGTTAGTTGATATCAAAAGTATATTTACAATTCGGTTAAACGTCATCAATTTTCAAATTCTTTGATATTTACATATATAGCTGGTTTTTAATCAATAAACAACATTTATTTCCATCCTTTGTTGATAGATTTATGAAATATGTGGAGATAGTGAACAGTATTTAAACTAAAAAATCCATTAAACAACACAAATTTTAATATGATTCACTGATAAAATGATGCAGCTCATTACTTGTTTGCATTTTATCAAGTCCTAACCAAATACAAGAGAGTACAGAATTAAAATGTTAATAAACCTTACCAGTCGTATCAATTTGAATTTTTTTTAAATCAATTTTAATAGTAGCTATGAAAGAAATATATAATGTTAGTATTTTTATAGGATAGATTTTGAAAGGAAGAAGTATTATCAGGGAAAACTGACTACCAAAAAGTAAAAAAAAAAATGTTGTTACAAGTTAAAGTATTAGGGGATGGCAAACATGATGATCTCACCTTTTCTACCCTCACCTAAAATATATATTCGCTTAGGTTTTTTTCACATGAAAATAAAAATCATAGTCGTTTAAATAGCTTTCTAAAACAATTTGTATCAATTTGGAATTCCCCAATCTATTTTTAGATCAATGTAGAGGAAATAAATCCTTGTATTGACCTTCACGTGCAGGTCAATACAAGTAATATTTTTCTAACATATTTGGATCTCAGCCAATCAGAGAGATGGAAATTATTCAATCATATAATAAAATGATTTTGTTTGAAAACGCAAACTGTAATTAGGTCGAGCGTTGATTAATATAATTATTTCAAACATATCATTAACCAATATTTTCACTGGAAATGTTCTTCTTTTTTTCTGTTTATCCGATTTTGAGAAAGGCCATATATTAGGTGTGACTGGTTAGCAGAAATGCTTACTTTTCCTTGGCATCAAATCCAACATCTGTTTTTCAAAGGTTTGCTAATTGCATATGCTCTGCAATTTGTATTTTTTACATGGATTTTTGGGAATGATGATTTTTTTTATTTTTCTTCATATAACATTTCTTATTAATTAAAGGTATTTAAATAAATGCACTTTTAATAATTAAAGTAGTGCATTTTTTATCAGAAATTTTATTGATACATCAAAAAGTTTACATTAATAAAAAAATTACTAGTCTTTATATATGTATATTTGTTATGGTAATTCTTTCTACGTCATAAATAAAGTATGTGATGCAAGCTACAAATGTTTCTTTTTTTTCTTCAGCACTGTTGAAATTTTCTGTCTATTCAAATTTAAAATTTTCTTTAGTTAATTTAGCTAATATTTATCTTTTTGCTTTGTTTGTAAGGGTGATATTTGATTTGAATAGCATTTTCATTCATGCGTAACGTGCTTAAATGCATTCTATTGTTTTCTGTATGTTCTTTCCTCGATAAATGTTTAATAAGCTAAAACTCTAATTTTGCATTAGTTATTCGTTTATAACTGTTATCGTTATATACGAGGGGCGTTCAATAAATAATGTCATTGGGGCTCGGAAAGAAACAAAAAACGCTTTTCTATGACTTTGTCTTGATGATTTAACTAAAATATTATCTTTCAATTAAAATACATATCCGTAACATTTTCGTTCAATTTCTAATTGTTTTTCGAACACATTTTTGTGTATGACCCATCGTATACTGGAATACGACAAATCCTATGATTTGTTGTTCTTGTTTTTTTTCTTTCTGATAGATGTTTTTCTAAGTTTGGGAAATAAAACAAGTCAAAGATTGAAAGATATGGCAAATTTTGTTGGTGTGACAAAACATTAACTTCCTCTTTATCCCCAAAATTCCTTTACTCTTCATGGCCTGTAGGTTTGGACGCCGTCATGAAGACTCTTAATGTAGTGAATTCCTCATTCTGTTTCCTTTCTCTCATAAACCTTTCATTGTTTTGCAAAACTAATTGTTTACTAGACTCCTCCATAAATTGAACTTCCTCCCAGAATATGAATTTGAGCAACAAGACCGCTAATATTTAAGAAAATAGCATATAAAACGGTTTTATTCTCATGCAATTCTTTGCTCTTCTTAGGCCTTTGTAGTTTTGTCAAGTGCATCTTATTGTAAATTTGTTTTGTGGGCTTAGAGCAAAATGGATTCAAGTTTCATTATCTGTTAGAATTTCATACAAACGTGGATAAGTGCAATTTTTGATTTTTTAAAATAATTGTCTGGATATTCTTACACCCTGCAGTTTTTAACTCATTTTTCAAAATATAGGATGACCTTTGAGTATTTAACTTTTTTACTATAAAATGTTTCTTTAAAACAGTACGAACTATCCCCAAAATGATTTTTATCAATTTTGCTATGTGTCTTAAAGTCAATAAAACATAATCAGTGATAATTTGTTGAAATTTCGCAAATTTACATCGGTTGTTGTAAGTCATTGTTGCCAAGGACGGTACCCATTTTTGATGCCCGTTATATAATTTTTGTTTATTGAAATCTGCTTGTTCACCTGTCTATAAAATAGGCATTTGTTACTGTATATTTCACATATATCAGTTAATATATTTTTGGGATATTAACAAGTTTTACAGCTGATTTCATGAAGCCTTAAATTTTACTCTACTGATTCTTGACCATTCATTTTTAATGCAGTGTCTCGAATAGCCCTTGTTTTCCAGCTTCCCACGATGAAATAATACGATGAAATGTGGTCACACAAATTGTTATCAATTCATTAAAGATTTAATAATGAGAGAAAGTCAAGATTTATGTCATATGACTACTATGTTGTATGTCATCGAGCTAATGACATTATTTATTGAACGCCCCTCGTAAAATAATACATATTTAAAGTAAATTATAACTGTACATGTAACAGTACGCAGCAAGTAACGAAGATACAGATTAGTATGTTAGTTCGTTAACATTTGTAATGCTGTATAAAGTTTGATACTGATAGAATCTTAATAAACAAAAGTTAACTTTGATACAGGTA